CCTTTTCTGCTGCCTCATCACACTGTTGACTCTTGTTCAACTTGTGGTCTACTAGGACTTCTAGATCCCTTTCACATGTTATAGTCTCATTAAGCCAGGTGTCCCCCCATCCTATATCTGTGCATTTCATTTTTTCTGCCAAAGTGCAGTACCTTACATTTCTCTGTGTTGAAATCATGATGTCAATGGTGCCAGTTGAAGTAGATGTGTCCCATCTCGGATCTCATCTCAGGATCATCCCAAGTCCTGAGGTTTCCGTGCCAAAATTGAGACCAAGGAGTTTATCACATGGGAGGCCAAATCCTGTGCAGAAACTGGATTTGAATTCTGGGAATAATCTGCAAAAGCGGGATCATTTTCAAATGCATTGGGTGGCACTGAGCATTAACCCAACATTAATCCACACAGAGAGTGGACAAAATTGGCCGCTTTTTACTTTCAGAAAAATCCCGAAAGTAAAAAGCGGCCGGTTGTGTCCACTTTCTGTGGGGGTTAATGTCGGATTAATACTCAGTGCCCCCCAATGCATTTGTTAGAAGGACTTGAACCTGGGGCATTGCTAAAGTTCATATCTTCAATGGGATTTTTTATCCGATGTTTACAGAGGTGTCTAGGGAATCGACTGATAGAGAGTGAACTTTTCCTTCATAGATCCTTTGTTTGTTTGTGTTTGTTAACTGACCTCCATCTTTTTTTAAAATTTACATAAAAAGATATGATCAGTACATCAAATAGAATTTGGAGAACGATACATAGTCTGAACATAACCTTACAATAAAGTAGTAAAACCTGAATAGTTTTAAATAACTACATTGCGCTCAGTATTATCTCTACAAAGATTTGGCTATAACTTTTAGGATGGACAAATCAGATTTCTGTATCAGATCTTTTCTGATCATTATATCCCTTCAGATTCCTCAATTATGCCCTGACTGCAATATTTATATATTTTCCCCCATTTCCTTTCATATTGTTGAGATCTTTTCTCTGTAATATACATAGATAGTCTATCTATAACCACTAAATCATTTAATTTAACTTTCCATTCCTGTAGGGTAGGTATTTTGTTGGATTTCCAGTGTCTTATGTGCCGCCATTATCATATATAATATTACGCTTCCCCCCCCCCCATTTAGTTGACAATCCATCACATTTATTATATTTAACAGAAATAATTCTGGTTTTAATGGGATACTTTTCTGTAATATTTTACACATATTCTTATGTATATTTTCCCACTATTTTTTTTTACCCTTCCTTCTACAATGCCACCACATGGGATACATGGTACCCAATTTATCCTTACATTTCCAACAATTGTTGTTATTTTGTTCTGCATTTTTGCTAATCCTATAGAGGTCATATACCATCTGTGGAAAATTTTGTGGAAATTTTCCTTTAGAACTGCCCTCCATCTTGACCCTGTGGATAAGGCATCTCCAAGACTGCTCTGCTCAGGTCTTGCAAAGTCATGCCAGTGACCTCCTTAATGGAGTCCATCCATCTGGCAGGTGGCCTTCCTCTCTTCCTATGCCCTCCACCTTTCCCACTCCAAAGTGACCCCTAAGGTGAACCACCTATCACAGGAGCTGAGACAGTGTGACTCACTAAG